TCTTTTACTATATATTTTACATAATTATCAGAAGTTTCCATTTATTACTTTACAGTACTAAGTTTCTACATCATTCACCTTTTCCTTTAATTTATTTATTTTATTTATTTTATTTACTTGTATTGAAACATTCACCTAGGTGGATTTCACCTATGACAAAATATATTTAAGTCCAAACAGCTACTAACATCTGAACACATTTTGGCCACAATGAGCTTTACAGGTCTAACATCTAGCACAGCGTCTCTTTCAACCTCACCTTTGAGCTCAATTTTTCCTTCAGTTATACAACTGCAACCCCTACTAGTTGAACAAGTGAAATTACTTCAGTGGGAGTTGTACTCATGTCACCCAGTGGAGGACACATTTTGCCTTCAGATACGCCTAGAGTTTCAATGTGGAGGGGCTGCATAGGAGAAACTGAAGGGAAAATTTGTCCTTTTGTACCTCTTTGACTAATACCTCTAATCTCTGGCATAGCCCAAAGTACAGCACATACTAAGTCTGCCCACACCCAGCCTAGTGTGTCAGAAACAGGTGATAAGAAGAGACTTGTTACACCATACACTAAGATATCGAGAATTTGATGTACTGGTTTTCAGGGCTTAAAAAATTCTGATTTAAATCACAATCCTGGAGGCAGAGTACAACATTAGACTGGTAGCAGCAGGGCCGGCTCCAGGCACCAGCCCAGCAAGCAGGTGCTTGGGGAGGCCAAGGGGAAGGGATGGCACGTCGGGCTGTTCGGCGGCAATTTGGCGGTGGGTCCCTCTCGGAGGGAAGCACCTACCGCCGAATTCCCGCCGAAGAAGAAAGCGCCACGATGGAGCTGCCGTCGGAGTACCACCGATCGCAATTGCGATCGCAGCTTTTTTTTCTTTTTTTTTTTCGCCACTTGGGGCGGCAAAAACCCTGGAGCCAGTCCTGGGTAGCAGTGTGTATTGGACCCCTCACATGTTTCAGTGAATGGGTGAGGCTCAGAGAATATGGCTCACTCTGCACAAAGAAATTTAAAATACTGCCTTTGCTGAGGCTTTATTGCATTAGGAAGTAGATTTTATGAATGCTATAGATCCCATTTAATAAATATTTAGTAAAGGACTAAAATGTTCAAACAAATTTGTTTGGAACAGATTTATGGAAGTCTGTGTTTAGAACAGAACCATAGTAAGAAATCACTACAAATATTTTTAAGAGAGAAGTTCCCCATACATCAACTTGTGTCATACCTATACCATATGATTAATGCCTTAATAAACACTACATATTTGATAAGATGTAAACTTGCAAGGCATACAGTACAGTATGGGTGCACCCTATTCACTGCAAACTACTTCTATCAAATGGTATAATATATTTTACACACACACACACACACACACACACACACAAAGGCGTGCAGAAAAATGTAAGGGTATTCATTTGAACTTGTAATGCTGAAAAAATCTTTATAATCTAATACTGTAAAGAGATCCACAGTTTACACAGATTTGAAAAAGGTTTTAATAAGGTTAACGGTTTTTGTGTCTATCATGCCCTTCTTTAAATATACAAGACTAAATTTTAATTTAATGACATTTTCCTTGAGGAAGAAAATAAAAAGCCAAATCAGCCACTCTACACCTCGTTATTGGAAAAAGCAGCTTGAATTGTTATTGGAAAGATCAAATCAGTGCAGCCATGACTGACAAACATCTATTTAATGTGTCCCATCAGATGACCTTTCAGTAAAATCACTGAAGGTAATTCTCTGAATTCTTATTCTTGTGTAGCTTTTTCCTCAATCAATACAACAATGGATTATGCACTCAACAAAATTCAGTTTTGGTTTTTGAATTTGTTCCCATTCCTTGAGTTTTCTATAATGAGTTCTGCAGCACCTCCGGGTAATGACATGAATGATCAGACATTAACAATAGATAGGCTTAATGATCTTTGTTCAACTGCACTAATACATACAGCTTTACAGGAATATCACGATTCCTCCCTCCATGTAGCAGAGTACATACCATGTTGTCCTTTGTATGTGTTCTGAATCAAAAGCAATTAATGTGGGGCTGGGATGTTTTTTGGTAGTTGCTTTTTTTTAAAGTTTGTTTTGTTGGATGTAAGTGTACTACTGATCAATTAATCTCATATACCATTGTGAGTTAGAAATCTCAAACATTTTCACTACAGGTAATATGAGATGAGAGTCACATAGATGACAGAACTGAAATTAAGTTTAGGTGGCAGAACTCTTTCAGGTCCCAGTACTTCAGCTCTTTGACATTTTTCTCCCTGCTGGCCTAGCAAATATAACAAAAACTAAACTAAAATCATCTCAGAAGTCAATACACAAAGACAGACACTATCTCTCAACAAGCTCTTGTATATTAGAGAACTAGGGAGCCCTTGTTTTATCCCACCATACCTTAAAAATACAACAAAATAGAAATCCTCAATGGCTGGGCTGAGTTACCTGTTGAGCTATCAGGTGCCTAATCCAGCAGTGACATTTAGTACAGTAAGGTCAGATCAAGTTTTGCATGTTTTGTCATCACAACTAATTTCAGCATCAACATGCAATAACATTGCATTATGAGCCAATGATGAATATGCATTATATGGAGGATGAAGCAATGTCAGTGTCTTAACATCCATCATCTAATTTTCCTGAATGTGGGAAATGCAAGACACAATACAAAGGTGTAAAGTCAATTTCCCAGATCTTTCCTTGGGGCACCCAAATGTTCCTGGTCACTGGGCTTGGTGTTCCAGTTATAAGGTCATAAACCTAGAATATAACTCTACTCATAGCTCCAAATTTACAAGTAAATACCGTGAATATTTTATGTTCCTGTGTGAAGCAAAAATGTGTGTCAGCATCAGTTAGGCTTAATTACAAAATAAATTGCATATTTTTGGAAACAGTTGCTACAAGAATAATGATGTGACAGCTGCTAAATGGCATTACAGTTGCAGACCTTCACACCTTTAAGTAAAAAAGAACAAATATCAGGGTTGGAAGGGACCTCAGGAGGTCATCTAGTCCAAACCCCTGCTCAAAGCAGGACCAATCCCCAAACAGATTTTTTTTTGCCTCAGATCCCTAAACAGCCTCTAATGGATTAAAGCTTAAGTCTTTCTGTTTTTGGTAGTAACCAGCAGGATGGACTTCTGTCCACTAGCCTAGCAAATTGCACCCTCTGTAACAGTGAGAGCTGCTATGTCTGTTTACACTGCTGCACTCCCCACAGGGGTTCTAACAGAATCATAGAATCATAGAATATCAGGGTTGGAAGGGTCCTCAGGAGGTCATCTAGTCCAACCTCCTGCTCAAAGCAGGACCAATCCCCAACTAAATCATCCCATCCAGGGCTTTCTCATGCCTGACCGTAAAAACCTCTAAGGAAGGAGATTCCACCACCTCCCTAGGTAACCCATTCCATTGCTAGTTAGGGTAGATTTCATTTGAAGGCAGCACTAAACAATATCTCTACCAATGAAGATTTTTGCTGAAAGGGGCTCTGTAACCTGCTTTATGCCAGCCGATGACCCAAATAAGGCAGGACTGAACCTGACCCGGTATCTGATTTATTTTGGCTTTCATTGATGTAATAGGAATGTTCTGATATATACATTTCGGGAAAATAATGAAGTATGTGATAGCAAAAATTGTTTGCAAACCTAACTAACTCTGCCTCTTGTGCTATTTCATGTTTCTTAAAGCATGGACCAGAATAGGATTCCATATTTGTTAACAGATCATTAATGAATTGCCTTGATGTGTGAAATACATTTCTTTTTCATAAAAATTGAATACATTGATGTTGTTTTTCTTAAACATACAGTAGGTAATAGAATCATAGAATATTAGGGTTGGAAGAGACCTCAGGAGGGCATCTAGTCCAATCCCCTGCTCAAAGACTGACCTTACAATGAAAATGTTGGTTATAGAAAATAAATACTAAACCAAAGTGGGGGAAAATGAACAAAAAATTATGCAATATTAAAATTAAAGTATATAATAAAGGCTCTGCAGAAAGAGGGAGAAAAAATATGAACCTTAACACAGCCTTGAAATTTCCAAATAGCAACAGGGGCATGAGGGAGATGCTTTCTGAGAGACACTCCTCTCTTTGACAAGATGACAGATCTGTTAGCTGGGGACCAACATTTCAAAGGAGTGAACTAGCTACTTTCTTTTCTTAAACAACAAAAAAAAAGGCTTATTAAATTGTCTGCTGTGCCTCAGAAAGCAACCACCTCAGGAGTTTAACTAAACCAAACCCTTAGTGAGAGGCATAAGGGAAATATGATGGGTTTTACGTTTCGGTATATACATGTATTTAATTGTAAACAAACAAACAAACAAACAAACAAAAAACCAGGGGCTTACACCCATTGTGTGACTACTGGCACATTGACTTGGATTGAGTTACTACTTGTAAGCGGGGCAATGGTCCCGCTATTGTGGGGAACTTTCCTGGCTTATGCACTACCCCAGTGAAATGGGCTAGGGAAAGGATCTGAGTCCTCGCTCCCACTTCCTTTACCCAGGAGCCTGCCTGACCTCAAGGATTCCCCTTCCACTCTCCTGTGTGGCAGAGTCCTAGTAACCCCAACAAGGCTGGGTCCAGGATTCCTGGGGGGCTTGACCCCCAACCTTGTTGTGGTCACTTAGGGAAGGGTCTAGGGTGTCCCCACTCCGCGGGGCTCTCTCTGCACTGCATGCTTCCCTGACCCACTGATCGTTACATAGAGTTCAAAGGAAATACAATCTATTAAACAGCAATCAAATTTAAAAAATAAGGAAAAAATGGGAAAGGTTAAAGGAAAACACATAACCCTGCTCTGCGGCACGGGGACATCACAACCAGCGTCTCTGGAATGTAAGGGAAGTTCAGTCTGTTCCTCACAAGTCCCAGGCCTCCTTCTCAGGCTTTGGCAGTGGTGCAGGGATGCTGCAGGTCAGACACTTGCTCTGGGGGTGGCCACACGCCCTCAGGCTCTAGGACCCTCCTTCCCAGTGTCGCCCCCGCTCCATCAGGGTTATGATCCACCTCCAAGTCTGGCCTGAAAGTCATCTTGGCTGGGGGTGTCTCCCCACACTGGGCCTGCTGCCCAGGGTCCCCCCTCGCTCTCCCCAGCTGCTCACTGCACCTGGCTCCGGACTGCCACAGCTCCACTCTGCCTCAGCTCCACTCTGCCTCAGCACTGGTGCTGCTCTGCCTCCAGCTCCCTGGACTGCTTCTCTGGCCCCTGTGGCTCTGATTGCTGCAGCTCTCCTGCCAGCACAGGTCTGCTCTGTGGGCTGCTTCTGTAACTCTGCTCCCAGCTCAGCTTAGGCCCCTGCTTTCTCCTTAGCTCGACCCCACTCTATCTGACCCAGGCAATTTCAGCTCACACAGTGGATGGGACCCCCCGGTCTCCTGACCAGGGCCGGCTCCAGGGTTTTTGCCGCCCCAAGAGGCAAAAAAAAAAAAAAAACCCGCGACCGCGCTCCGCGGCGGCAATTCGGAGGGAGGTCCTTCGCTCCGAGCAGCAGTGAGGGACCATCCGCCGAATTGCCGCCGAATAGCTGGACGTGC